TCCATATTGTTAAGATTTTTTATCTGCACCTATGACATCACAAACGTGTCAGGCATTGGCATGCAGGCACGTTGCGCATGCACTCGCTTGTCAACTGATGTGAAAAACAAAACTAGATAAAAGAAAGAATAGATGCTATTTCCAGTATTGGCAACATAATACGGAACATTATATAAACATAGGGAAAAAGTTTTGATAAGCCAGCAACTGTCAAAACTTATGCTGCTTTCAAGTGTTAATTTAGCAAATAATCAGATGTATTCGTGCCACGGGAAGTTCTCGCACTGCACATTAAAGATGTCAGCATCGTTTTTAGTTTCACCACCAGCACCACTCTGATTGTTGGCTGCACTCTCTTTAAGGTGCAAGTGTCCAGTGGAAAACAAATAACATCTGACAGATAATATCAGCTGCAAAGTATTGCATTTATTCAGCATCCCTCAGCCTGTTGCTCACCTCAGCAGGGATGAGAAACCCCTCAGACTCCTTCAGATAAGAAAATATGCTGATGGAGAAAAACAGAACTGTATTTGAGCTAGACAAAGAGTCATCTTATTCAGGGTATAAAAACTTTTTAAAATACCGTGACCTGGGCTGGGATTAGTGCATCAGTTCAGTAAGTCTGAGATGTTTTTAGGGAATAAGGCTACTTAAGACCTATATAATACTTCAAATTTAATATAAAATCTAACAGAGTTTGTGTCACTTTGTCAAGCAAAGGCAAGGGCCTTGAGTTCATTTCGCTGCACATGTGTGCAGCAGCACTCTGGGAAATCAGAGGAGACAGAAAACCCCAGGAGTCTGACACACTGCCAGCCCGAGTCAAAGACAGGTTGTCTGAACATGGCTACTGTACATTCAAATCAACACCGTGTCTCATATGTTGCCTGCCTCTCGGGAGATTCTCACATCCCTCTGGAAGCCACGAACATTGTCAGTGCAAAGTGAAAACATACATTCTGCTCATGCATTTATTTTGAWGTATTGTAACTGGAGAATATCCAGATATCGATGGATCACAGACAAATGCACAACGTTGCCCTGAGGATCATAAATCCGTGCAACCTGATTTATTGATCAGTGAGTTTAATCCCTGTCCATGTGTGCACAACATGCTCCAGTAATATTTTATATTGCATATCTTTTTTTTAAAGCAGAAACCAGTTTTCTCTCTGTAAGGTGAGACTGCTTCTGAACTCGTGAACAAAACAGAGCAACTGATTACAGCAGCGGTGTCAGTGCTTTAGCTTCATCAGCCTCAAACGTCTTTGCATCAGTTTTCTCTCTCTTGATCTCTGGTCTACATCTCACTCTGTGACTTACTGCAGTTTTTTGTATATGCCACTGCATTTATTTGACAGCTTTATTCAAACTCGCAGCAGACAAACTGTTCAGGGCTGCAGAATGAAGCAGTTGGTCAGTGCGGCTGCCTTGAAGCAAGAAGGTTGCAGCTTCGGTTCCCAGCTGTGGCCCAACTGTGTGGATTTTCTCTGGGTACTCCAGGTTCCTCGCCCACACCAAAAACCTGCATGTTTGGTTTACTGGCAACTCTAAATTGTCACTATATGAATAATTATGTCTCCTTTGTCTCAGTTGTATTATAGACCGGCGGAAACTTATCCAGGGTGTACCCTGCCTCTTACCGTGATGAGCCCCCCATGACATCAAATGGGAACTAATTGGTAAGTAGAATGGATGGATAACTCTTCGTTAAATGCCACATCCTATTTTTAGAGGTGTTGCAAATGAACATCATGGACAACTCTACTTCAAACTACAGACGTTTCAAACCCAGATTTTTCCTCATGCTTTATAATTTACAAGATAAAATCCTCATAACAATTTGCACAAGCACTTTTTAAGTTAATTTTACTGCTTTATTATCAGGTATGATGTACTTATCAGTATTGAGTAAAATGTATTTACATAGTAACAATTACTAAGTAAATTCAGTACTGGTAATTGTGGTGGTAAGTACATTTAATGTATTACTGACAAGTAAATCATACCTTACATTACAGCAGTAAATTTTACTTTAAAAGTGCTAGTGCAAATTGTTATAATGATTTTATAGTAAATCTTACGTTATTTTTTCAGTTTGCTGACATGAAAAAATGTTTTTTATGACCAGCATATGTTATATTCTTTTTAAAGGATGTAACAGATTTTTAAATCACAATATCTTACAAAAATGTGTGTACAGCCCTCACTTTTGTTACCAGAGATTTACACATTAAAGACTGTGTGTTGAGTTATGTTGAATAGGCAGCAAATTGACACTGTTATTCAAGTTGCACACTGACTACTTTGTATCAAATCATATCTTAAGCATTGAAAAGCATGAAAAGATATATTAAATATTTAAAACAAATGTGAGGGATGTACTCATTTTGTGACATACTGGAATTGAAAAAATATTACCAGTCAGAGATGTAAAATCTGGATGCGTTCATTCTTTATTTATGGCAGGGAACTTGTGCATTTAATGAGGTTATTCACCCTTAACAAAAAAAGCCTATGTATAAAAAGACTAAATCATGCATGTACACTAAACTAAAACTAGACGGAAACTAATCCAGAATAGAAGAAATTATGTGCAAACTGTGCAGCACTCACATATTCGTCCTTAATTATGTGCGTAGCACTCAGACAGAAACTTCACCTGTCTGTTGGGTTTTGCCTCAAAATTGTCCAGTTTCATAACAAGCTCTCTTTCTTCTGCCCCTCATTTTCTTCCTCCCTGTGCTGTCCCTTCCTCCTTTTTGTGCTTCTTTGTGCAACCTCTCTGCCTCCCTTTCTATTATTTCCTTCTCTCCCCAGCTAATACACCTCACTCCTTATTCACTTCCACTCCTTTACCAGCCACACATGAAGTAATAAGGTTTGTTGGAAAAAAAAAGTAGACATTTGTGGGCTGAAATGCTTTGAGGCAGCATATGTTACCCAGACAGTGTGAGTGTGTGTGTGTGTGTGTGTGTGTGTGTGTGTGTGTGTG